AACAAAAATAATAAATAAATAAATGAAATATTCTAACCCATATACTTGCTGGACCCTGTGGTGGAAGCAATACATAAAAGCAATAAAAGCAATCTATTGACAGGACAGGTCCCCTGGGCCTCGGGCTTGGGGGATAAGCAGTAATTGCAATTTTCTCTTTGGAATTAATTGTAAAATAATTGGTTTGTTTATACATCCATTTGCTATCGAAACACACATAACTTTGAATCAGAACAAATTAAATGCAAACTGTCTTCGATTCATCTTCTGTTCAAAACGTTTGGTATTTAATCTTTATTCTTTTGATAAACTTGAAGCAGTCAGCACTTTGGTATCATGGTCACTAAATGTCTATATTGTTGTAAAAATACCCTGCTAAAAATAAACAAAACAATAATAAACTGATAAATTTCAAATAGGCATAATAATATTAAAGAATAATAAAATACAAAAACATGAAGGGCCAGGAGGAATTGATAACCATTTACACAAGGGACATACACAAACTAGATAACATCACACAGTTAATGGAATTCAAACACCAGTATAGTATGGATATGCATTGTGAACATTATAAGTAACCTTCCTTCAGCCACAACAAGATATGAAAATGCTTGAAAAGGACAGTTTTTGTTAAAGGACAGTTTGGAAGAGTAGAGGAAAAACTTGTCAGCATGCCCTTCTGTCACCTGCCGACCTCAGTTGAGTGAAGCCCTATGTGGGGCACCCGAGACAGGACGGCTACCTCAGATTATAGCTTGTTACAATTTGGGAGCCACGGACAATTAGCACATGTGTGGCTGAGCAGAGAATTGGTCATGACCAGGTTGAGCACATAGCGAGTAACAGGCTGTGGAGAAACAGGTTTGGCTGGGTAGACAAACGCATTGTTTCTGACATGGATCTGGAAGGGTCAATATGGTCAGACAGGGCAGGACACATACCAAATATAAAAACTCCATGGGGAACGGTCATGGTCTACAAAAAGGTAATCTTGGCAATATTGGTGGCCACTGGGAGGAATAGTGTACCACTGTACTGCCACTGCAACAAAGTTAACAAGGAGGAGAAAGGTTCATTTTCACGTGCGCCCAGTCCTTGTTGGAGATAGGGACAATCAGTCAGGGCCTTCAATTATCTACATGGGGCAGGGATCGCGGAGCGTGCAACAAGTGTGAAGGCCTGTTGATGACATGATGAAGAAGCCAAAGCTGTAGACACAAAGGGTATCAGTTGTACAAAGACAACTGGTATCATCCCCGACTCTCTTCCACTATCTGCAGGCCAGGAAAACCGCGCTGAAGCACAGTACGTGCCAACATGCAGGGTATGCCCCTTGGCCTTTTTTATTGGCAGTTACAGAGTGGTCGTTGACCTGGCTCCTCTGCACGACAACTCCTCGAACCAAAATGAGGTGATCCACTAGCAGGCAGACATGACAGTTGACCACCCTTTCCAGAGGTTGGTGGAGATGTGCGTTCTGCTGGAGGCCCGGGGGACCGGCGCAGGAAGGAACCAGAGTCATGTGATCCAGATGTGACATGTCCCCAAAAATTGTTATATGTATATATTTGACATATATAATATGTAAATTTTTCAATTTTGAAAAAAATAAAAAATTGTCTTACCACTGCTTTTCTGTCTCTCGCCAAACAAAAAACTATTGACTTTACCCAATCACATTGGTTCAAACCACTCTTAAATGAAGTATAGTACTACAGTATGAGGGACAAAAAATCCTTCATATGACATTATATTGATACAGTAAGTCTGCAACTTTCACATGTTTTAGAGAGGAAAAAACGGAGGTTGAGGTATACACAAAACCAGCTGCCAGGCGCGCTAAAATTTTGGTGGGGTTTTGAGACAGGAGCACGAGTTGAACGCGTGGTCTCAGCAAGAGAAACCAGCCGTTTGCTTGTGTTCCTCAGACAACAGCTAAGACGTTTTCCGACCCGTCGGCATTGGCGTTAATTAAACACAAGAACACTGTAAATGATATATGGTGATAAAGAACACAATAATGATAAAAAATATTTAAATATAAAATAAAACATACCCAATGTCATGACCACGGAAAGTAACACAAATACGATAAACTAATATTAAAATATAAAATCCAAAACATACCCCATGTCCACTGACCACAGAAGTCTGAAGGCCTGGAAGGGAAAAAAGCTTATAAGAAAACCGCGGCGGTGATGGAGAGTGTTATGTTCCGAATATGGGAGGTAACTAAGGTATCAAGCAGTAATGTCATTAAATTGTTAAGAATGGATAAATAGAAATGATAAGGGAAGAACAAAATACAAACACATATTGATTGCGAAGCAACCACTAGATTAGTGGCAATCAAAATTGAAAAAGAAAAGGTAATGAGGAAAGGGAAAAGATAAGATGAAAATAAATAACTATGGAAATGATTCCAGTTTGTCAACAGAAAATGCATCATTCTAGAAAAACAGATGCATAGAAAATGTATTAGAATAGAGCCTATGGCAATACCAGCATAAGAACTGGCTGTGTGATGGTGTAGTGAGTGGGACATATGTCTCTGAGCAGTGACATGCAGAGGAAATTTTGCCATTTCCCGGGCATATAATATGCTGTAGATTTACCTGTATTACTTCCTACTCTATTTCTTATGCTTACAAGGATGGCAGTGTCTATCCTCAATCTCTATGGCATCACTCGGAGGAACATTAACCCTGAATTTTCCTATACAACTGATGGGGCAACTATACTAATGAGACTATCAAAAAGTATTAGTTCCCAAAGAGGATGCACCCTTTCCAGCGACCCAACCCGGCTATCCAACCTAACATTTCGACATATTCCTAAAATGGAGGGTAAGGCCCCTGTAACCACCTTTATTAGCAATTTCATGCCATTTACAGAAAACCACAACATGAGAACTTGGCTGTGTGCGTGTGAGGACGTGGTTTTTGACGTGGACATTTTGGACAATATGTAGCATAAGGTGCGGCAGAGCGGGGTAATAAAACTACATGAAATGATAGAACAATACAAAACCAAACAAAGTTCTGATATGGAATATATGTGCAAAATGCTTTCCAAAGGGTGCTATATGTAACAAGAAAAGAGAAGATCCCCAATTTTGGCTAAGTTGTTCATCTTTGTTACATTGCGAGGGGAATTTCTAGCATGAATACTAAACCGGGGTTCCAGTGGGAATAGCCCCCTGGCCAAGGGGTCATGTTTACCCCATTAGTTCCCTGATGACTTCATGCCCTCCTGCTATCGGGGACTATCAAATCAAGGTTGTCAATGGAGATGGTGATTCAATCTCCTCAACAATCATTGGGCACAAGGAACAATGAGGACAATATGTAGGTAAAAGGTTAGGGCAGAGTCGGAATAAAAACGCTACATGAAAGGATAGAACAATACAAACCACGACAAAGTTCGTCTTATGGGCACTATGTGTGCAAATGCTTTCCAAAGGTGCTATACGTAAAAGCAAAAAAAGAGCCCCAATTTGGCTAAGGGCTTACTTGTTTACATTGGGAGGGTGAATTTAGACATATTATTACCACGGGGGTCCAGGGGGCAGGGCCCCCGACTAGGGCATATATCAATGTGTTAGGTTAGGTTGGACGTTGGGTTAGGATTGGTTTAACAAACACAGGGGTCCTGTTTTACCCATAAATTTCCCGATACCTCCCCTGGCTTTTGGGACTATCAACAAGATTGTCAATGGCGATGTGATTAGATCTCTTCACCGATTCATTTGCACAAGGAACAATGCCTAGGAAATCATGAAAGCAGTGGATTTCATGCAGAAAAATATCAAAAATTGTTCAAAAGGTAACCAACTACCCCTTCTACATCTTGACTAGGGGGGGGGGCTTCTATTTTCTGTTATGACAGCCACCCATGGAAAGCCTTTATACAAATCTTGCCTTAGCAATCACTTTGGGTTAATATGTGTATAGTAGTGGCAAAGTTGGGTAATAAAGACCTACATGAAATGATAGAACAATACAAACCAAGACACAGTTCTTCTATGGCAATATGTGTGCAAATGCTTTCCCAATTGGTACTTACGTAAAAGAAAAGAAGAAGATGGGTTACTTTCGACAAAAAAATGAGATTGCACACCTTTGCTATAGAAAACTTGTATGGTTTGTATGTCTATCATTCATGTAAGTTTTATTACCCAACTATGCCAACCTTATACTACATATGGACCCAATTAATGTACTCGAACGTACTGCAAATTCTAACGGACGCCAGTTATAGAAACTAACATTTTTAACGTGTGAAATCTGATTTGTAAATACTTTGCAGCGTGTTTATCTGTAAAGGCGCGGAGATCTTTCCCGCCCCAAAATATAAATGGACATACATTTTGCATCAACACAAACAAATTATTCACAAGTGCTTCATATACCTTCTGCTCGAATGTTGCTATCACTGCACATAAGCCTTTATTTGCGTAAATGAGATACGTTTTGTAAACACCAAATGCGTAAACGTTGTACTTCGAACACATAAATTAATAAAACAAAATACAATACACTGGGCAACTAGAAACCACCGTTCAGGCGGCGTCCACAATTTTCCATCTTCAATCACGCAGGCTAAGGTTAGATTTCTTATGATTAATTCCTAGATTAACTAAGGTAAAAATAGTTATCAGTTCTTAAAAACGTACAGTAATCTTAATTGGTTAATTTCAGATGATTAGCGATAAAAACGAACTTTGCGACAAATCGGAATTTCCACTGAAAAAAATGTTAAACATTTGAATACGAAATGCGTCGCGCAAATTAGAAACGATGTACCGTTATCCTACTACAGTTTTTAGTCAGAAGAGACAGTGGAATTGCTTACATCTGACATTAATCTGACAGCTCGTTGCAAAGAAATTGCTGAAGTTCTCTAAAAGGAACACAATGTATATGTATCTATTCTGTTTTTTTTTTTATGTGTTTTGGGGGGGGTTGCGTGGTGTTGCTTGTTCTTACCAAGTAAATATATAATATATATATAATATATATATATAGTATATATATATATATATAATATATATATATATATATATATATATATATATGTATATATGTATATATATATAATATATATAGATATATATATATATATATATATATATAGCATAT